ATTCCATGTCTGAAATTTTAAGTCATCCTTGGTCGGAACGATGACATCACCGGTGATATAGTCGTCCTTGCCTCTGCCACAGATATACATCATAACGGATTAAGACCACTGGAGGTAGTTCTGGCCGTTTAGTTTGTGGTCAGTGATGAGAGAGGAAGTCCCATCGATTCCAGTTGAAACAGGGGCAGATGAGGCGGAGGATATTTCTTAGGAGAAAGAAGAAGAAAGCGTCATACCGAAGAAGATTGGTATGACTCTGATACCATGAAAAGATATGAGAGAACTTGATTTTATTAATGAAAAGAGGGTATAAATACTCATTACAAGATTTACTGGTAAGGAAAATAATAAAAACATAATACAGCAGAAAAGAAAAGGAATAATAACAAAATATAAGAGGGAGCTAATCTCTCTAATTTAAGGAGAAAATAAATAGAGATTCCCAAGATCCCTCATATAATTTATAACCCTTTAAATATAGAGTTATAACAAATATGAAATATAATAATTAGTAGTTTTGAGATCTTTCAACAGACTGTAAATGATGAAGGTGGTAAACACAACAAGATTAATGTCAAAACTTCATCATCGTACTTAACTTCCTTGGCTTCCAAATTAGAGGTGATTTCCTTAAAGACAATTAAGTGATTTATAACAGATGCACCTCATGTCATTTTATGAGTGCAAATGCTGCTTTAAGTGCAACTTACTAGTCAAACATTTTGTCATGCACAATTGCTCTATCTTGAGCCACATTGCAGCAGTGATCTCCTTTAAAATATTATGTATAATCTTATTTGATAGATGAAGATAAATTTGAGAAAAAACCTTTCGATCTTTACATTTTTTTTTCCTCCAACATCCACTATGAATTCATTTTTACGAACTCAAGTACGCATTGTTTAGATTCATTTGTGCTATGGCTGCTCGCATCTTAACCTACCAATAAGAAAATCTGGTGTTTCAATCTAAGGGTCTGTTTGGGGCAGCTGCAGCTTATCCAGCTTCTGCTGATAAGCAGCTTATCCTGATAATCTGCTGATGACCAGCTGATCCGGATAAGCTGTCTGACTGTTTGGTTAACGCGTCTGGAAAACAGCTGATTGTGAAAAATTGACCCTTTTGCCCCTGGTCTGAATAAGCAGTTTTTATAGTTTTAGCAAGGCACCTCTAAAGGAAATAATTAAAAGAGAGTCAATAAAACAATACCACACGGATTGCAATCTAAAGATAATTATAAGCTTGATCTAAAGGTTTAAAGCTACATTCTTTGTGCTCACATTTTCCTTCCAAATCTTCAATTCACGTGATCGTAATTTCCTTAAGAGATGATAAGCAGAACCCACAAAATTAAGTTCACGAATTTAACGTTGGACTTAAGTTGTTGATAGACAAAGTTTTGAATCTTATCTTATAGAATCATTTTTGTGATCTCTTCTTAGCTTCTTCAAACTTCCAGAAATTAAGACTATAGATTTTAAATCAAGACAATAGGAATATTTGGGGCAAAAAAACAAAGCAATCTATTAAAAAGCAAGTGTTGATCTCCCTTGATTGTATCAAGTATGATGTCTTTTTATACTATTTAAGCATCTTTATGATGCCAAAATAGCAAGTTTTTGGGCTTGTTAGACCTTTCAAGCTGACATGCATGTTTTCAGTATTACTTGAAATGGAGTTCACAATAACAATTTCAATAGCTTTTAATTCAAAAACGTGACTTAGGATGCCTACGTCATCAAATAATTGTACAATCACATTTACAAAAAAATTCGGCCCCCAAATAGATCTCGAGTTTATTTAAGAAAAAAAACTAATTAAACTCACCTCGTGGGGAAAAAATATTACGTCCGGAGTCCGGACGCAAACGCCCCGACAACAGACGCGATGCATGAAAATAAGGGAGGAAAAAGAAAAAACCGACCTCCACTGCATCACGTTTGTTCGGACCATTACACAATAATTTCTTTTTTTTTTTAAAGAAAATATATCTAAATATATTTCAAAATAATTATGAAAAATGATCTTCAAAACTCTACTAAATATCTGTTAAAAAAACGTCTCAGATAAAATATTTGCTGTCTAAATTAAAATGAGAAAATATTTTTGTTCAATTTATTCACAGCCAATATTCTGTTTGAGAACAAATTTAAATATTTTTCTTTAATTACAAAAGTAATATTTTAATAACTTAAATAAAATACAAAAATAAAAATCTTGAACGTCCTCTACCCACGCCTAGCGTTGTAAACGAGCCGCAAAC